GCTCCCCTGCACAACTTCCTAGCGAGCTCCTATACATCCCAATCTGCTCCCCACTCCGGCTAACACTGCACCCCTCCACCCCCAGCCAGGCCTCCCCCAAAGCCCCCATGCGGCAGCCCTGCAGATCCCTAGCCAACCACCCGGCCGTAGATCGCCCACTAGGACAACACTGTCCCCACCACCTTGTTCCCCCAACACATGAGCCCCTCCCCAAGGAATGAGCCCCTCACCCCCCCTCCGGTAACACCCCTCGGCTCCTGTTCTGCAACCCACCCGCTCGCCAGACACAAAGCCAGCCCTGACGGGGGCCAATGTCCCCGCTCAGAGAGGGGGCATGGGGCTGGTGGCAGGCTGCACGCCGCCCTGAGTGGGGAGGGGGAGGTGGATCCATCTCGCCAGCAGAAAGGATCAGGGCCCTGCCTCCCTCTCTGGCCCAGACCGGGGCTGCAGCAACAGGCAAGCAGCAGCCAACACCCCCCAGCACCCCCAAGGGCGACAGAAGCAAAGGGACAAAAATAAACATCCATCCGTCTAAGGCCAAGCCAAGCCCAGAGCCAATTCCAGCCAGCTGCTACCGCCAGCCTGTGTCCAGCCCTTGCAAGGTCACTGCAGCAGAACCAGGCCCAGCCCTCGGTTTCCCTGTTTCCGGGTAACTGCACCTGTGTTCCCTTGAGGGCCCGCACTTCAAGGTTTCCGACTCCCGGTTGTCACCTCTCCTGGGCGGAGACCCACATCTCGCTCCCCTCTGCCTGGGGGTTTTAAGGCTGCAGAGCCCCCTGGATCACAGTCGCGCTCTGCTTGGTCTCCAAGGACCATGACCAGTGTGTCACCTGCAGATACAAGCCACCACACCGCTCCTGCTGGGCAAGCGCCTTTATTCTTAAGGGAAAAGCATTACAGAGCAAACAGACGAAGACAATAGACTAACCTAGACACACGCTCAAAAGCGTCAGCCCCAACCTCGGGCTCTGGTAGGTTCAGTCCTTGAAAACCCACAACTGGGGTTTTCCCCCATGGTTACAAGTTCGTCTGTCTTAGATTCGGAACCAGAGCAGAGATTGGTCAGATCAGCTGTTTCCTTCTTGGCCTCACATCACATGTTAGCAGCAGACAATGAGGCGCTCCACAGGGCGTAGCTTTGAAAGGCTGGAGGGGTTTGCAGAACCAGAGTTGGGGGAATTTGCATGAACCTCTCCCTTGGGATTCCCCCAGGAAATCCACTCCCCTTGTCCCAAGGCACATTTTCCGCAGAGTCTTGCGAACTCCAAGGTCTTACATCTGCCACAGCTGCCCCCTCGAGAGGTGACATACGATCCCGACCCACAAGAAGACACACACTTTCCACCTCCTCCAAGGATGTTGCAGGACTTTGCCACACACTTTTCTTGGCGCGCCTATTTTGAAACAAAGCAGACAGAAACAATCATATTTTGCAAGGTCGCTGTGTGTGTATGCGCGCGGTGTGTGTGTGAGTGTCTTTTGCTCGGGAATCTCAAAGCACTTCAGCTGAGTTCTACACCAAACCCTTCCCTTGGTTTTACACAAAACCCCTCCCCTGGAGGTAAAGAAATCTCATTAACAGGAAGCACAGATGAGGAGTGAGTCAGGGGAAATAGGGAGTCCTGGTTTCCACGCTCCTCCTGCTCTAACCATTAGATAACACTCCTCTCCCTTAACTGGGCATACAACCCAGGAGCCCTGACTCCCAGTCCTCCCCCCAGCAGACCACATTCCTTTCCCAGAGGTGGGGACAGAACCCAGGAGCCCTGACTCCCAGCCTCCTGCTCTAATTCCAAGACAAAACTCTACCCCACGAGCTCTCGCCTCCTGCCACGGAGCAGATTTGTGGTTCTTTGAAAGTGGTGTGTGTGTGTCATCCATTTGGTGCTGACTGGTAACGTGGCCAAAAGTTCCACTCCCACTCGCAAGGCAAACACTGCTGAGCTGTTCCCAGGCCATCAGCCTGATGGATGAATTTAGCACCCCATGTGATTTATGGCGAGGGAAGTAAAAAAGGGAAGTTTGGGGGCAATACAACATGCTCTGTTCTCACAGTGTTTCCAGTGCAAGAGAGCCAGAGAATTCAGGGAAGCACCTACATTTTGGGCGGTGCTATTTCCCTGTTTCTCTCAGCGTCCCTGCCACATGACCTAAGGGTTTGTCTACACAAGGGGAAGTCATTCCAGATTAAGGCAGGGCGTGAAATTGAAGAGCTATAGATATTCCTATGTATCTCCCCGTATGGACATGAGCAGGGCCGACGAGGGGGGAGGGGGGGAGAAAGCCGGTACAAATTACCGGGGCCCGGCTTCCCCCGCCCCTCGTCGGCCCTGTTTAGCCGGTCCGCCCTTGCTGGGGGGCCCGAAAAAATTTTTTCACCAGGGCCCGAACCCGCTCTCGGCGGCCCTGGACATGAGAGAGTCTTATCCCAAATGAGCTTAATCCACTTCCAAAGCACTCTTACTCTGGAATTGGAACGTTCACATGGGGAACTATTCTGCAGTAGCTATTCCAGTTAATTTCCCCATGTGGAGAAGTCCTAATTTCTACACTAAGGCCCTGGCAACGTTCCCAAGTCTTAAAGTGGGTTTAACTACAATTGATGCCCACTTTAAGGACTCTTTAAGCAGCCATGGTGGTGCAAAGGGGACTTAGTGTCAATGAGAAATAGACCCATTATGCTGAGAACTGTATATTCCCCACAGGACACTTTGATTTGGAAATGCCACCACCGTGCCTCATGGGAGTTGTAGTGTGGGGGTCTCGTGCCCTCATTCTCCTGTATGGATCAGCCCTCTGGTTGGACAACATCTCCCACAATGCACCACAGTCGCCTCACTTGCTGATCGCCGGCTGTACACGTCCCATGGCCACGGTGCATCATGGGAAACGTAGTCTGGCTGGGGAGCCCAGCCTATACAGCAGAATGGGGGCATGAGGCAGCCAAACTATAAACCCCATGAGGCAACATGGTAGCATTTCCCAATCAACTTTTTTCCAGTTTTGTGGCGGATATATTTTTGTTTTCGGGTGTTCCGGTTTTTTGACAAAAAGTTGAAAATTTCCACAGAAAACCTACTTTCAACCTCCCTCAAATTCATTTCTGTCAAAAAAACAGGTTGCATGGAAATTTTTCAGCCAGCCTGATGTGTAGCACACCGTCCCCCCCCCACCCAAAAGCTCTCCCGAGGGTCCAGACAGAGGCCAAATCCCCTTTCATTTAGCCTGGCTGCTCGCAGGTCTAAATGCCGTTACAGACTGCACCAGGTCAGCCCCAGCCGTCCCACAATGCATGGAGATGCCTTTAGTCTCCCAGCATGCACTGTGGGATAGATACCCAGAGGGCATTGCAGCTGGACCAGCGCTAGCGTGGACAAACCCACCGCTGGTCAGGACAGCAGTCTGAACACATTTCTGGAGATCTTCGCTCAGAAACCAGTTCCACTCAACTAGCTCCATTAGGAATGGTTCACTTCTGTGGTGTAGACGCAGCCTGAGATCCACCCTAACCACAGCTCTCACCTGGCCTAGGTAACCTGCTCAGAGGGGCCAGCTGGGACCACTCGGATCTGATCATAGATGGTGGTGATGGGTGTTCTCTCGCTCGGGAAGCCAGGGTCCTAAGAGAACAAGAAGAAAAGCCCTAATTCGTTGTCCTGTCTTTGTTGGTTAGTTAGCCCGAACTGGAAATGGCTCTTCATTCATTGAAGGCCCTTAGGAGCTGGGCGTGTGTCCCTGAGTTCGGTAGCTGCATAGATCAATGAAGAGGGAATTCCACAATGAGTCACAGTCATTTATCTCCTTGCCAGACACACAATAAATAAGACCATTTTTGTCTTCGAGGAACAATGGTCTTGTGTCTAAGGGGAATCATGGGCAACGGGAAATACCCTCAGTCATACTGGGCTAGATCTTTACTCAGAGGTTGCTCAGTCCTCACTCACTGCAACTCCTATTGCTGTCAGTGGGAGTTTTCCCTACGTAAAAATTCTAGATTATGTAGAAATTCCAATTTTGCCCACCACTGAAATGCAGCCACCTCTGGGGTGGAGGTGTAGCAGCTGTTTCGCATCACACAGCAACACAGTTCAGAGATCGCTGGCTCAGCTCTGAAATGCAGCCACCTCTGGGGTGGGGTGTGGCAGCTGTTTAACAACCACACAGCAAAACTGCTCAGTAGTTTAGGACAGGAAGTGAAGAAGAAACCCCTATCTCCGAAACATCAGGGAGAGTTTGGGAGGCAGAAGGGAGTTACTCAAATCCAAGGATACATAAATAACAGACTGGAGACAGGAGCGAGACTGACACCCTTCCTGGTGTGCGTCATGGGAGCACATTTACCAGAAGCTGTTATCTCTGTAGGGAAACAACAGCTGGCAACTCCGATATTATCTCACAGCAGCTCAGGATGCTGCTTCCGAACCAGTCACTCTCCAGCAAACAATGCTGATTAATATCGTGCAGGGTCACAGCCCCATCAGTGCAATTTCCTGTGGTTACCAAGGTTCCAGATTATTTGAAACAAAAATTGCCAGCAAAGTACAAAGGCCTGAAGGCCAGCGCGGAGGTGCTCAGAGTCAGGGGTGCTGCAGATTGCCCAGGTGAGCTGGCCGGGTCACCCCGCGACCAGGAGAACGTGTGCTGCTGCGGGGTGCTCTGGGGCCAGTGTGATGCAAGCCCACAAGCTGTTCGGTCATTAAGCCCGGCCCTAGAGGTGCCGGGGCCCTAAGGGAGAACTGAAGGCTGCTGGATAACTCCCCCTACGGGAACTCACCTGGTCGTCCCCCTCCGGAGGGCTCCTCCTCTTGATCTCAGCATAGTGGGGCTCTGAAAGACATTCCTCCTCTGGGACCGTGGGGACAGCAGCTTAGGGGAGAACGTGAGACAGATCATTATCCTACATTGAGAGGCTGTGGGGGACCCTGCCGGGTCTGGGGATGCGGTGACCACGTCCCAGCACTAATAATCCCCACTGAGGGCCAGATAGTAATTATCCTCTTTTACAGATGGGGAAACTGAGGCACAGAGGAGGGCAGTGACTTGCACAAGGTCACCCAGCAGGTCAGGGAACAGAACCACAGGTCTCCTGAATCCCAGTCGAGTGCGCTATCCACTAGGCCACACTGCCTCCCAGAGTCTGCTCTCACGTACACTGGCCTGACTCTGAAGTCAGTCCAGCGACGCTGATGCATTGACCCTTTCAGTGCAATTACTGCAGATCTGCCCCAGCGTAGCTGAGATCAGCGCTTGCCTCTTTGTGTCTGTCCCCTCCCCCCCGGGATCCTGCCCAGTCTTGGGCGTGCCAGACCCAGGCCGGCTGCATGGGGGAGTTTTCCCCTCTGTGAAGGAGGATACTGATCGTGGCCCGTCTCACAGGCACTGCTGCAGCAATGTATACAACGGATGGTTGCGTGGCAGCTGGGGACTGAGCCAGGGATCGAACCGAGGACCTCCAGAGCTAAACGCCAGAGCGGCTACAGGTTCATCAGAGCGGCCGTACTGAGTCAGCCCAATGGCCCAGCTAGCCCAGCCTCCTGTCTCTGACAGTGGCCGGTGCCAGACGCTTGAGGGAATGAACAAGACGGGAGAACTGTTGCGTGATCCAACCCCTGTCGTCCAGCCCCCGCTTAGCTTGAGCTAAAGTTCTCCAGGAGGAGCCACAAGAGAGAGGGCCCAGTACCACACTCCCCCCTGTGGGTTACACATGCAAAACGCTCCGGGAACCGCATGCTACAAAGCGTTATTAGTTTAAACACATCTTGAACGGAAATGTTAACACAATGCCAGCCGTGACTACCAGCTGTAACCCTTTAGTAGCCCCATTGGCTATAGTACGACTCCTCTCACCGGTCAGCATTACATGGAGCAATAAACATTCGTATGTTGACCCCCCCTATCATGGACTGTCCAGCGGTTTTGAACCTACGGCGTTCACCTCCAAAACACAATAGTCTCCCACTTGAGCTAAAGGAGTCACTCCAGTAGCTGGTAACAGTAGAAGGCTTTTATCAACCATCCATTGGAGAAGGAGGCAACCCACACTTTACATGTATGTTCCATGTGCCAGATTGGACCTTTACTGTATAACATTAAAGAGAAGAGAACAAACAGTGTAACCATAAAATACAGGAAAGTGTGGGAGGGGAAAGTGGCTGGCGGAATTACTCATGAATTAGTTAATAATCAGCAATTCTTTATTTGTGACCCATCAGCTGAGTGGGGCCATTAGTGTTTCTGTAAGAAGGAAGTTACCTACCTTGGCCGACTGGCTTTTTCCTCCTTTTCTTCCATAGCCACATCCCGACACAGGCTGCGGTGACGACGATCAGCCCAACGCAAAGAGGCCCCATCCACATGGCTGTGTCTGTGTCTGTGGCGACAGATCAGAAATACATGACGCGTTGCCCAGCTCGACGCCGACCGGGAAAACACAGGACAAGGCAGCGTCCCCAGAACACCACACCGGAGCCGGGCTGGCTGCGCGTGGGAAAAAGGATCGACGGCTCGTTGTCTAGCACTTGATCCCACGCCTGTGGTACCCTTTCTATTGGCTCCAGTGGACTTTGGATCCAGACCATACGGCCAGGTGCTTTGTAAATAAGACACCAAGGTCCTTGCCCTAAAGCGCTGGCAATCTGAATACACCCTAGAGCCGTACGTTTTAAGGCCAGAACGGACCAATCGGATCACATAGGCTGACTTCCTGACCCGTGACCTAAAACTCAGACTTCTTAGCGTACGTCTACACCACAATTCAAAACTCGTGGCTGGCCCGAGCCAGCAGACTCAGCTCGCAGGGCTCGGGCTATGGGACTGTTTAACTGCAGCATAGATGTCCGGGCTTGGGCTCTAGGACCCTGAGAGGTGGGAGAGTCCCATAGCCCGAGACAGAATGTCTCCATGGCAATAAAACAGCCCCCTGGCCCGCGCCCCTGGCCCTTGCCCCGGGCATCTGAGTCAGCTGGCATGGGCCAGCTGTGGGTTTCTAGCTGCAGTGTAGACACCCCCTAAGTGCCAGGGCACCGGGCCTTAGCTGAGGTTTCTGCAAGAGGAGGATTGGCTGCGTGCATTGTTGTGACCGTCTCTGTTGGAGGAAACAGGATTTGTGTGCAGTCTTTAAACAAAGAAATGACACTGGAAAATACCCGGGCTCCGCCTCATTGATTCCTCCTGCACCAAGCAGTTCAGCTGTCCTGCCAGACCCCGAATTCTGCTGCGGCTCGGCAGAGGGGCGACCCTATATTAAGTAATAAAAGGCAAGGTTGGGAGGGGCTGTAAATCCCTCACCTCTGCTTTGGCAGATGCTCTGCAGGTCAAGAGAGATGCTCTGCTGGTCCATGGGGTTGCTGGCCGTGCAGGTGAAGGTGGAGTTCCAGAGGTTGGGCTGCAGAGACAGACGGAGGGTCCTGGCATCCGGGCTGAGCTGGTACCGCTTGGAATCGCCCAGGTCTCGGGGTGGGTTCCCTCTACTCCAGGAGACGTTAACCTCTTCCCTGCCAGACACCTGACACTGCAGAGTGACATTGCACCCAGCTGCCGTGCTGGAGAGCGAGTGACTCTTTATCTCCGGCGCTGGCACCGGCTCTGTGTTGAAATCACAAAAAAAACCTTTATCCCAGAATCCCAGCAATGCCGGGCTGGAAGGGCCCTCAGGAGGACGTCTAGTCCCACCCCCGGCGCTGAGGCAGGGCCAAGTCAGCCTAGACCAGGCCAGATTGAGCCCATTATACGTCTCCTACCTCCAGTGGACACGGAGAACAACCGATCCCGGCCTCTTTATCGCAGCCCTTCACGTGTTTGAAGACTGTCGGGTTCCCCCACACCCCGGTCTTCCTTTCCCAAGACTAGACATGCCCAGTGTTCATAACCTTTCCTCACAGGTCGGGTTTCCTGAACCTTGTGTCATTTTAGTTGCTCTCCTCTGGACTCTCTCCAATTGGTTCGCATCTTTCCTACAGTGTGGCGCCCAGGACTGGACACGGGACTCCAGCTGAGGCTTCACCAGCGCTCGGTAGAGCGGGACAGTGACCTCCCGGGTCTGACCTACGCCGCTCCTGTTCAGACACCCCCGAGGGATATCAGCCCTTTTCACAACTGCATCACACTGCTGACCCATATTCACTTTGTGACCCAGCTCAGCAGTTCTGCCGCCCAGTTAGTCAGTCCCTGTTCTGCACCTGCTTTTCCCTGCCTACGTGAAGGCAGGCCCTGCAGGTGACGGAGCTGCCCGAGTGCCAGCTGGCAAGTCACCCGCCGTGTCCAAGCAATAGCAGGATGAACCTGCAGCGCTCGAGTCACCCCAGCCGGGCAGAGCTGTGCTTATCAGAGCCGGATACTCCCCGAGCAGGATGGCAGACAGAGCTTCCATCGTCCTCTGCCCCCAGCGACTCCCCCCAGTGGAGGCAGCCGTAAGCCCCACCAGCGGCCCCACCGAGACCCCCTCCACGAGAGGCTGCATCCAGGCTTCCTCTGCCAGCCCGGCTATGGCTCTCCCTGGCATGATGCCCTGTACTGGGGGCTACTGGCCTCCTATGATCCCCACCCTGGAGTGGGTAACAGCCTGCTGCACCTTGAATTGCTGCAACCTTCCCCCCCGGGAGAATTCCTCTCTCTGGGACCCTGGCACCCGCTCTGGGCCAGCTTGGTTAACGTACCCTCCACTGGGGGGAATGGAATCGACAACAGCGCTAGCCTCCCTCGCTCCACGGGCAGGAGCCCAGCGAGCTCCCATGGGCCCGGGGAAGGTAGAGTCTGACCAGCCCCAAAGCGATGGAGTCCCCGGGGGATCACTTGGCCGAGGGGTCAGCGGAGAAGGGAGGGGAGCTGACTCGTCCCAGAAGCCACATACGTGTGTCCCAGACTAACGGGCCTAATTGTCCTTGTGGGGTGTGGACAGCCCAGCTCGGGGCCCCGTGAGTGCTGGGCGTTTGGCCAGGACGCAGGGGAAGGGTGACTGAGGCTAACGCAGGCAATCGGGGTCAGATTCATAACCCAGATCTACCCCCAGCCGCTCTCCCAGCTGCCAAGGCCAGGCAGGGCTCTGCTCACAGAATACTGCCCCACACCAAGGGCAGCGGCGCAGATGACCTGGGTATAAGCTCAGGATGGGTGGCTGAATAGGGAGGATCATAGAGTAACGATAGATACAGAGACAGAGCGATGGATAGTCAAGCCCCTGCTCATGGTCCCTTCTGACCTTGGAGTCTATGAGTCTATCATGAACCTCTAGTGCGACCTCCTGCCCATCGCAGGCCACAGAACCTCACCCACCCTCTCCCACAACAGACCCCTCACCTCTGGCTGAGTTAATGATGGATAAATAGAGAGATGATCCCTAGGTAAACAGACTTTTCTTTTCCCCTTTTCCTCACTGCACTAAGGTTTTATTGCCCATCAAGAGCCATAATTTGTCTCATTTCACAGGTGGCAGCTGTTCTGTTTTTCTAAATGTGGGTTTTATGGAAACTGATAAGCTTATTTGTATTAGAAACATACAGGAAGATTACGGAGAAGTTTAACGGAGATGGGCTGAAACCTGATCCTGGCGTCTGAACCCCTTTGGGTTTCAGAGACTCAGTGTGAATCGCTGGATTCATCCTTGAGATTTTGGTTCTAGGTTGGACCCTGTAAGGAAAAGGGGCTGATTTCCCAATGCTGATTCAGACACAATCAAAATCCATCAGGAACAGTCAGTCCCATGAGATTTTGGCCTAAGATGGCAGAAATCTCTCTGAACGTCTTATCTCACTAGAATTCATCCATGCTGGACTGAAATGTGAGAACGGCCCATCCTGACGTGACCTTGAACCCGTGGCACCTCTTGTGGTGCAGAGGAGACAGGACTGAGTTGTGAGGGGTATGAAGGGGATATTTTAGTGAGGCTGCTGCACATGGACAGATCCTGTGGTTCCCCTTAAGCCCTATTTTGAAGGAGTAAATGGTGCAGAGACCTTGCGCTGGTCCCTCTGCACGGGGTGAATTTCACCTACGTGCCCAAAAATCAGAGCTTCAACCACTACCCTTGTATTTCTGGAAACTGGGTTCCAGCTAAGAAATCGATTTGTCGTCACTTACCATAGACCGCGAGGAGAAAGGTCTGTTCCTCCACAGTTGCTGGTACTATCTTAATCCGGGCCTCATAAACTCCACTATCGTTTAGCTCCAGAGCCCTGATCCTCAGTGAGGTCTCGTCGTACCTTTCTAGTCTCTGCTTAAATCTGTCGTTAGGATCGGGTCGCTCAAACTTCCCCCCACTGATCTCAGCCAGCTGAATCGTCACACCTGACCCAGCATGAAAGCTCCATTCGATTTTGTTCACCTTTCTCCCGGGGGATAGGTCCACAGACAGCACGACCGATCCTCCCAGAATCCCATTCACCTGGCGGCGCGGTGTCGGTGCTTGGCTAATTACGATGCCTAAAAAAATGCAAAACCAACCAATCCTCCACCAAAAAGGATTGTGATATTTTATCAGGATGCTGCTGAATATGAACAGCTAAAGCTGTCACTTCTTTCTCTAACGCTTTGGAATTAAACACAGGGCGGACGGGCACGTGGAGGACAAGAACGAAGGAGTTAACAGGATATTCGATCCCTTCACCGGGTATTTCTTACAGATAAGGCACAGACAGGCGGCGAGTGGTGAGAACATGTCATTCACACCCACCCACCCAATTTCACATTCATCCTTAAATATAACTTAGGCTCTCCCCAGGTTTTTAAATTGTATTTGAGAATCAAGAATAGTTTGTTCTCTGCAACAGAACCTATATTTCTTATACACCAACACAGGTTTTATCTATTGCAGCCATCCCACGAATGGTAGGTAACCAATAAAATAACTACGTTTTTCACTTGTAGTCTGTAGTGTCATTTTGGTCTCTCTTATAATTTGATATCTAAGGTAATTCTGCTGGTGTTAAATACACCTCATTTCACCCCCAGTCTAAAAGGCGCTGGGCGTATTATCTTGCTACACACATTTGTTCTTGGTGGTTCCTTCCATGGTCTCCCTAATTAATTACTGCAATTTCAATGGGAAGGAGGCTCCTTCTTCACTGACTTCCTCCCCTAAACTACTGCTGTGTTGCTGTGCGCTGTTGAACAGCTGCCCTGCTCCACCTCAGAAGCAGTCGCATTACAGTGGTTATTCGTTATTATTATTTCTAGTTCACCGGCACCTAGCAGCCCCAGTTGAGATCAGGGCCCTATTGTGCTAGGCTGGGGACGGGGAGCAGAGCAGGTTTTCAGAAGAGCTCTGTATGTTGGGAGCAGAGCTCTTGTGAAAAATCCAGTCCTGTAGATCTTGAGTCTAGAGCCTTCTCCACACACCTCTCCTTCCTCCCAGGAAGGACCAACTTCTACCTACAGGCCCAAATCACCTCACCCTTACGCAGGCACAGCTGCCATTAACTTGACTCTTAAGGGGAGTTTTGCCTGAGTAAGAACTGCAGGATTTGGCCCGTATTTTATAAAGAGCGCTAGGATGAAACCGGCCGCATGAAAAGTCAGGTCTTCGTGAATTTCAGTCTCAACTGAGCCTGCGTTCTTTGTCTGCCATGCTGCCCTTTGAGGGAGAAGCGACAGATGCGATTGCGTATTGAAAGGAAAATCAAGTGACCACATCACAGAGTTTATTCTGCATTAACTCTTCCAGTGGCCAAAATTATAAACTGCTTGTTTCCTGTATTGCAGAGACATTTCCGCGCTCAGAGTCAGGAGAGGGGGGTTTGTGGGGGCTGGGTTGTGCTTTTCTCACCCTTACTGGCCACTGGTAATTTCTTCTCAGCCTCAGCTCAGTTATTTGAATCTCGCCCCCCCGGAAACTGATCTTGATCTACGACCGAGGCCGATTTGGTTTGCAAAGCACAAGCTGAAATGGCTAGCCAAATGCACGACCAAACAAACCACACAGTATGTAATAGAAGCACATGCGACACGCGTTTCCTCACGTGAGATGCCTAGATTTACTGCTTGGGATCTGCAAACATGCTTCCCCCTCTCCGAAATAGTCGTTTAGCTGTGTGGAAAAGGGCCAGGGCGTGATTCTCATAGAGGGCAGGGCGTTCACTGCAAAATATCTATCTACCTGCACAGATATAGCTCTAGATAGCTGCATGTGTTCTTACCTCGGCTTCCCATAGCCACGCAGGCAGAGCCGCTCGGGTTTTCACCCCAGAGAAAAGCAGAATTGCCGTGTGTGTGTTCACTGCTATTCTAACTGGAGCTCGCTCAGCTGAGTTCACTACACACCTTCGGGGCCGGATTTACGGGCAGGCGACCCGGGCGACCCCCTTGAGTACCGGGCTTGGGGGCGCTGGGCTCGGGGGGGCTGGTTTTGTTGTTAGCGACAAAAGGGGCAAATAGAACGTTTGAAGTAAAATGTTTCGGGTTCTGTAGGTGGATTCATTTGTCATGTTCGGACATTTCAGTTAGTCTTAAAATGAAGCTGTTTCTCTAAGCTTAGAGGAAATTAATTTTGTATTGGCTTATATACGGCATGAATAAATATAGATTTATATAGCTTGCAAATTTATCATCCTATATGACAGGGATAAATCGTGCATGCAAATTGTGCGAAGTCATGAAATGGGCTACAAATGCCGGACAAAACAAGGCATTCAAAAGTATAATACATGGAGGGGGGGCGCCGAAGACACTCCTCGCCTGGGGCGCCATTTGGTCTAGGGCTGGCCCTGCACATCTTTCTGTGCAGTGGAGACATACGCGTACACTGAAGCAACTTGAGCCTGCTCTAGCTGTGGAAAGGGGCCTTCAAATTGGCACAAATATAATTGACACTAATTTGAATGTCTCTTGACGCTGCCGGAGCGGAGTAAAGGGCCTAGGGTGCGTCTACACTGGAGCTGTAGGTGTCCAGTTCAGGCAGCCGTACCTGTGCGAGCTCAGATCAAGCTAACAGCGGGGCTGTGACCTCACAGGTTCGTAGCTCGGATTTCAGACGGGATCCCACATGGGCCGCACCCAGGCAGGCTGTTTTTAGTGCACCAGCTTGATCACAGCTAGTGGGGGTACATCTACCCGAGCCTCCAGCGCCAGTGCAGGTGTACCCCCACGGCATGTCTACACAACAAACAAAACCCGGCAGCAGCAAGTCTCAGAGCCTGGAACAACTGACTTGGGCTGGCGCTGCAGGGCTCAAAATAGCTGTGTAAACATTCGGGCTCGGGCTGGAGCCAAGGCTCGGAGACCCTCCCCGCTTGCGGGCTCCAGCCCGACCCCAAACATCTCTGCTGCTTTTCTAGCCCAAGAGCCTGAGTCAGTGGACCCAGGCTCTGAGACTCGCTCCCACTGGTCCTTTTCTGCTGTGTAGACGTACCCGGAGTGCGAATGAGAATCAGGCTCTAGGATTTTAAGCAGTGCTTCATTTGTGCCAGGGCTTGCCAAGGCTGAGACCCGGCACCTCTGGGCTTGGCAGTTCAGAGCCCCGGCACCTCTGGGCTGGGCAGTTCAGAGCCCCGGCACTGCTGGCCTTGCTGCATCAGTTATGAAAGTACAAAAATTGCTTGAGCTCCGGCACCTCTTCCATTACAAACTAAGCCCTGGTTTTAAGGGTTTGAAGAGTTAGTGGTGATGCAATGACCAGAGTCCCGTCCGCCCCATGGGCATGGCTGCGTTACACACATGCCGCGTTACTATCTACCTTTTATTTAGAAATGGGACCAATCCAGAACCATTGATCCTAACTCCCTTCAATTCTCAGATGTTCCGATCTACAACCAGATTTCACAGCTGGGGCCTCCCTCAGTACAAACTGGATCAGAACCAGATCAGAGCCCCTTCGCATTGTGAGCAAGTGAACACACAGCTCTTGGCTTGGGCCAGATGTAGATCTGATCCTTAACAACAAGTCATTAATTAACGGTTCATTAGTAGGGGGTTTCTAGGGAGCCATTACATTCATTAAACGAGAATGTTTCTACAGCTGATCAACAGGCCCTGGCGAGAACACAAGCGCTGACCCGAACAGCTGCCATCCCTCAAGACAGGATGGAATTTCAAGGGCCCACCGATCAGTCTGTATTTTTGCAGCCAAAATTATAGACGGGCCCAACCGAACCCCAGATCCAAGGATCCTGAACTCTGGGGCATTCGAATTCCAGGTCCCGCTGTGTCTAACTGGGTCCCCCCTCGATACAAAATGAGAGGCTGTGGGGTAACAGTGTGCTCCGGCACACTGCTAACAGGGACAACCAGTGATCCTACAGAAGCCCTAAAACCTGGCTGGAGGCTGTGGTGATGGGCAGCATATTAAAGAGGAAGAAGCGTGCATGCCAGCCAAGCATTTGGCTGGATACATGATCCTTTCCCTATAGACATGCCTCCCTCGCCCTCAGGTTACACCATGAACTTTACGTCTGCAAGGAACAGGGCTTGAGACGGAGGCCACGTCTACACGGGATACTGGTTGGTGCACAATACCGGCAAAGCGCTCCTAGGGCGGACATGGCTGATCGCAGCTAAGCTGCGCTTTTGCCGGGATCGCTTATTCCACCATTCCTGAATCACACCAGATATGCTGGTAAAACTGTGTCTACACCAGCGGCTTTTGTAGGTCAGGGATCACCCCTCCTCCCACCTCTGGTATAGATGCATCATTGCAAAGGCCGGCAAAGCCACTACTTGCACTGGTAGCATTTAACCCTGCTTGGAACTGGGGTAAACGGCATTGGTGTAAATGGTATAGAGCGGTTTGCCCAGCCTACAGGCAGGGTTTGCCAGTTTGCAGACACCCCGGTGATCTGGGGGGAATTCAGGGCAGTGGGCTGGCTGGAGTCAGTACAAATCCCCCCGTGTGAACCAAAATGTACTTTCTTTTCATGAAAGAGCAGTTCTCCAGCAGTCATATCACCTGCTAGACAAAGCTCACTTGCGCTGGTCACAAGTAGCAATATTATATGATAACGATTGAAATAATTATGTAAATTAGACTGGCGCCAGCTACACCCGGGGTGTCCGACGCCAGATCTCAGCCAGGGGAGTCCAGCAAATGAGGTTCTGTTTCTCTCTCTTTCTCCTTTCGTACTACACAGTGTCAAAGACGAGTTAGAAATTGTTGGGGGGTTTTTTAAACTCCCAGCTCTGTTATTAGGGTGTCCTCATTGAAGATCCGCTTCTCCAATTTGCTTTCAATGTAGAAGAAAAATTCTACCTCAATCCCAGAGCTAACTCACCCGGTGTGAGACCGAGAGACTTTTTCTGCATTTCAGGGGGTGTGAAATGATATAGTCACAGTTTTCTGAATATAGTTTTTTGACCATTTTTTATTCTTGCTATAATTTCCTCATAGAAATTGGATGGATGGATGGATGGATGGATGGATGGATGGATGGAAAAGAAAGGACAGAGTCTATAATGGAAACTCAGCTGTAACCTTAACTACGGAGTCCTATCACTCCATAATCTAGCAGACCAGATAAACTTTTCCATCTTTAGTCTCCTCTTCCCATGGAGCAGGAATCCCCGTCCCATTTAGCAACATGGCATGGGCAGAAAGACCAGACCCTGTTAGCTTAGAACCTGCGATCTAGACATTTGCCAATCTCAGGGGTAAAATATCTTTTATCAAATGAAGAAATGAAGAAAACATCAGTTAAAATTTCTTTCCTTCTCAAACGATTCTTTGACCAAATTACAAGCACAGCAAGTAACATTAATCCAAAAATATATTCAGAAAATGTGAGAGTATCATTTAAAGCCCTTATGATTTATTCTGTAGGTCTCCCTTCCAATCGGTTCCACACACATCTGGATGCCCCAGGGCTTGGTTTAATTGTCCTAGGAGCAGTTTTAAGACAAAAGACATCAAAATCTAGGTGTACGAATAGCATGAGAGGTGCTTAGACAGAGGCAGACAGGCATTCTATACATTTGTAACTCTCAAATCCATTAAACTTTTTGTTTCTCTAGCACTTTCCAAACGTCCCCATTTTCTGACATTCTACGGAAAGTTATTTTTTTGAAAGGGCAGCAGTGGATCAGAATAAAGAATAAATAAAACACTGATATGAACCTTCTGGCTTATTTTTGGGTCTCTGCTTACTATAGCTTGTATTGTAAATCTCTCTAAATATACGACAGCATCTAAAACCTAAAGTACCTAGAGCTTTTGAGCACATTAATACAAACAAATAAGCGAATTGAATAAATCCACAGGAAAATCCAAATGGGTTACAGGCATAAAAAAGCAGCACAGATCAACCCTCTTTCATCCTCACAGCCAGTCAAAAAATGAACAGTGCACAGAAATCAAGGTTTTCCAAGGTCTTCGGTTACTTTTGTTTGACAATTGTCAGAAGATTTTTTGATTGATAAGATTCCAACTTCCCTCTCCAATGTTTCATGCCACTTGCCCTGCCTGTTTTCTAGATCCCTAGAACTAAACTTCATTTGGTGATAAAAGAGTTACAAACTAGTGAGCATTTTAAATAGGTTTAGTGACTCACCAGATATTATTTACCAAATAATTATTCCGATAATAATCAGCCAATGGTCACTGACCATTCACTTCTCCCCTGTTGATTCTAAACTATTGCACATATAGAGACAGTAGCTGCTCTGAGTGCATGCACATAGGATAATTTGCTAAAGAATCTAGTTACTCCCTGCAACCATATGGTTAATGAACCTTGAATCTCCAGCATTTGCTACTGAAGAAAAACTCCTGCTTCCCTGCCCACCTGTGGGTCTTTCCCCTGAGTTGGTAGATTTTCAGCCAGTGATTAGTCACTTACCTGCCAAGAAACTGATCAGCGTCAGGAGCAGTAAGGGGACAGAGGGGCGTCTCACCTCCATGTCTTCATCTTTGCCTGTAGCTGAAACTAAGCACTCAAGCTGCGAATACAGGGGGAAGTGCAGCACATAGGACACACCCTGCCATTCTCACCATTAGACAAACACTGGGGGTGGTCTGGGAATATGCATAAATAAATAAAATGGCTAGCAAGTAGTTAACCAAGCGTGCAGATCAGACTGTCAGCCACCAAGCAGTTCAGAATTGGACCTCATCACTAGTCAGCCACATTATTGCACCCTGTCTTGTGTAAAGTGATCACCAGTCTCACGCAGACGTGACAGAAATGAGCACTGGGGTATTTCAGCATCAACATCTGGACATTTCTACTCAATGTAAACGTCGCCTTAGTTGACTCTATTTTCATCTTTTCTCTTCGGGCCAGGTGAATCAGAAAGGCAGCCTGGCTCGTCACGCTGATCAAACAAAATGGCCCCAAGGTAGCTTTGCCTGCGTTTGCTTTCCACAGAGACGCTGGCAGCCACATTGATTGGCAGGATATTTCTGCTAGCTACCAGAAATATTGGACAGCCATGGCTCCTATCACCCCAGCGTTAGAGCGCCTCCCACACGTAGATCAATTATCCCCATCAGACGGGGACCCCGTTGTCTCCTTTCTACATGCAACTCTCTTGGCATTAGTGAGGTTTGAACTTGAGATCTTCAAGGGAAGACCTCCACGTCTTGAGCTAAAGGCCTTAGGATACTGACCTCCTTGATAAAGTGCTTTGAGATCTACTGATGAGAAGTGCTAGATAAGAGCTGTGTATGAGTAGGTCATCACTGACACACACACACACACACACACACACACACACACACACACACACCCTACCTAACATGGGTTAGCTAATTCACAGTAAAATTCGAGTGGAGACCAGTTTCTGTCACTTTTACCGCACTGTAGCTAGGTGAGGTCAACACTGCTGCCCACGTGTGATCTCACCTCACTCCGTAGCGTTGTCTCCATTAGCGTTTTATAGCACAGTAGCTAAATCCATGGTGTGTGTGCGTGTGTGTGTGTGGGAAAACGGCAAATCACACCTTTTTTGGGCAGTGAAGACATGGTCTAAGTCTGTAAGCCGGTAGCTGTGCTCCATGGGCCACCCGTAGCTGGGGGAAATATGACACTTTGCCAGTGTCTCACCTACCACCCACCTAGCTCAGGTGGGAGTTGAGATGAAGTCACGTACCCAAGGTCCCAAGGTGACAAAACTCCGATCTCCCACGTTCCAGGCCAATGACTTGGCCACAGGACCGGCCTCTTGCAGTCTGGCCTAGATGGGACTGAAATGGGGAAAGCGCCCCCTAGTGCTTCTAAAGGAGCTTTTTAGTCAGCTTTAGTTGACAAAGTGGAAAATCTAGAAGGGGGGGAAATGAAGGGGGTTGAGGAAGGCTGCAGTGAATTTGCAGGTCTCATGCAAATGCAAACACAAAGACAGAATAATGACTGGTTAACTGCACAGGGGACACAGGCAATAGAACTTGGAAGGGAAGCTGATCAAAAAATCATTTTTTCCCCTGTGCAAAACTTCAATTTTCATTAGAAATGTGAAACTAAACAGTTTTGGCCAAACCCCGAAATATTTCAAATTGGAAATGGTGCTGCTTTGCCTGATGGGAGTTGTAGTTTGGATGCCTTAAATTCCAGGCTCCCTGGTCAGACTACAAATCCCTTTATGCACCATGAATCCCTCCTTCATCAGGGGAGTCCCTGGCCATGGTGCATTGTGGGAGATGTAGGCAGATCAGGAAGCCTCACCCATAGAGAATGTAGACAGGAGGCAACCGAACTACAATTCCCATGAATCACCATGGTAACGTTGCCAAATCCAAATAATTTTGTTTTGGGGATATTCATTTTTTCGATGACAAATCAAAGTCTTCTGCACAAAGCAGCCACTTTTCCTGGAAAAAAAAAGCGATTTAATCAAAATCCCAATTTTCCAGCAAAATCTGTTTTTGATGGGAAAAGTTTTTTCCCTAATTAGAACTTTAATCTCCAAAAGGCCATTACTCGATCATGTACCGCGTGCTGGGTAATCACATGAGGACTTTGTGTAAAACTAAACTGGCTCTTTATTAAGAGAACTATTTACAGATATGCTGCAGCCCAGATTCTGGCCCCGTGCACATGGACTGACTTTAGGGCAGGGGTGGGCAAACTACGGCCCACAGGCCAGATCCGGCCCATCAGCGGTTTGGATCTGGCCCGCGGGATTGCCCCCCCTGGCGCCACGGGCCCCACACCGCTCTCAGAAGCATCTGGCACCACGTCCCTGTGGCCCCTGTGCGTTGCCCTTGCCTCCAGGCACTGTCCCCTGCAGCTCCCATTGGCCGGGAATGGGGAACCGCAGCCAATGGGAGCTTCGGGGGAGGTACCTGGAGGCGCGGCAGTGCACGCAGAGCCCCTCCGCCCCCCCTCCCACAGGGGCCGCAGCGGTTCCAGGAGTGGTGCGGAGCCGGGGACAGGGCAGGCGCGCAGGGAGCCTGCCCTGACCCCAGTGCGCGCTGCTGCCACCCCAGAGCCGCTTTAGGTAAGCGGTTCCGGGCTGGAGCCCGAACCCCTCCTGCACCCTGCCCCCCAACTCCCATCCTGAGCCCCCTGCCTGCACCTCGCACCCCTCCTGCACCCCAACTCCCTGCCCTGAGCCCCCTGCCACACCCCTCCTGCACCGCAACTCCCTGCCCTGAGCCCCCTCGTACATCCCGCACCCCAACCCCCTGCCCTGAGCCCCCTCCCACACCCTGCACTCCCTCCTGCACCCCAACCCCCTGCCCCAGCCCTGCATACAATTGCCCCACCCAGACGTGGCCCTTGGCCCAAAAAGTTTGCCCACCAAGGGTGGCCAGGTGTCTAGTTTTCGACAGGAACACCCGGTCAAAAAGGGACGCTGGCAGCTCCGGTCAGCACCACCGACTGGGCCATTAAAAGTCCAGTCGGCGATGCTGCGGAGCTGAGGCAGGCTAGTCCCTACCTGTCCTGGCTCCGCACTGCGCCCCGGGAGCGGCCAGCAGGTCTGGCTCCTGGGGGGGGGGGGCCCACAGGGCTCCACACGCTACCCCCACCCTGAGCAAAGGCTCTGCACTCCCATTGGCCGGGAACCGTGGCCAATGGGAGCTGCAGGGGCGGTGTGTGCTGGCGAGAGCAGCGCGCAGAGCTGCCTGGCGTGCCTCCGCCTAGGAGCCGGACCCGCTGGCCACTTAGCTGCCTCCCACTGCACCGCTGACTGGGATCCGCAGAGGTAAGCCCACGCCCCAAACCCCTGCCCCAGCCCTGAGTCCCCCTCCAAATCCGGAACCCCCTCCTGCACCAGCCCAGAGTCCCCTCCCATACCCTGAATCCTTCATCCCCAGCCCCACCCCAGAGCCCTCACCCCCTCCCACACCCCAACCCCCGCCACAGCCCAGTGAAAGTGAACATTTGCCTAATTTGATTTAATTTGAAAACTGGGCACCATCAAATTAGGCCTGAATAAAGACTGGGAGTGGCTGGGTCATTACACAAACTAAAATCTATTTCCTCATGCTAATTTCCCCCCCTACTGTTACTCGGACCTTCCTGTCAACTGTTTGAAATGGGCCACCCTGATTACCACGACAAAAGTGATTTTTCCTGCTGCTGCTAATAGCCCACCTTAATTGGATTGTCTTGTTAGAGTTGGTAAAGCAACCCCCATTTTTCATGTTCTCTGTGTATATCTATCTTCCTACTGTATTTTCCACTCTGTGCATCCGATGCAGTGGGTTTTAGCCCACGGAAGCTTATGCCCAAGTAAATGTGTTAGTCTCTAAGGTGCCACAAGTCCTCCTGTTCTTTTTCCAGTTAGACTCTGAGCATGTGGGCGAGACCCACCAGCGAGACCCCTGGGAAAGAATTCTCTGTAGTAACTCCGAGCCCTCCCTGTCCAGTGTCCCATCTCCGGCCATTGGAGATATTTGCTGCTACATACCATTGTGGGCAGTCCCATCGTACCATCCCCTCCATAAACGTCTCAAACTCAGTCTTGAAGCCAGTTAGGTTTTTTGCCCATACGGCTCCCCTTGGGAGGCTGTTCCAGAACCTCACTCCTCTGATGGTGAGAAACCTTCGCCTCATTTCAAGCCTCAACTTGCTGTTGCCTGAGGCTCTTTTATCCCCTCCTGGTCCTGCCCGTGGTCCTGCAGTCCAGGTGTGCCAACTGTTTGCAGCGACGCCACAGCTCCCTCTCATGACCTGGCTGCGTCCCCCTGCAGTGGGCACTGCTGTCACTTGCCCTGGCTTCCTGTGGCTACTTGATGGTGGGACCCCGACCTGCTCACCTGTGGGTAGCGGCCTCAGGGCTTTGGCATCTGTGTTGTAGCCGCTGCCTGCTTCGCTCGGCGTTCTCCTCACAGCGGCTGTGTCCTCAGCCGGGCTGCGGCAGACGACCCCTCATGGGCTCTCCGGCCCATCAGTCCCTGTGCTGGGCTACGGTCTCGTCCCCGGGAGGCGAGAGCAGCGGGTGGCAGGTGCTGAAACCAGCCGAGCTAGGATGGAGCAGAGAGCGGCCTGGGAGCTGCCTCTCTCACCGAGACGTTGGGCAGGGCGGGTTCAACGCGCCGACGCCCACAGGGTCCCACAGCACAGCAGGGTGGCCGGCACAGCACCCAGAAGGGCCCCACAGCACGGCCACCTGGTGCTGCCAGGTGAGGCCAAGGGCCTAGGAGTAAACTTCCCGTGTAGCCACTGGGGGACCATGTTGGGACCCAACTGAGGGGATTTCAAAACTGCCATTGGGTCATGTCCCTGGGGCACCCCGAGGGTGGGGAGCAGAGTGGGGGCAGGATCCCAGTCAGGATTTCAGGGGGTGCTCCATGTCCTCAAAAGACAGAGGGGGTCACCTCAGAGGCACAAACCCCCACGCCAAACAGGACAGCGAGAGATATCCCCGCCCCCCCAGGAGCGAGAGGACTGGCAAAGGGTTGGTTGGGCAGGCGAGCGTAGGCAGGGCTAGCGTCGCATACAGGAGGGAGGGGGCGGGAACGGTCAGGAGCAGGGGCCATTGGGACTGGGACCTGAAAGGGGAAATCACCACGGGGAGACTCTACACACAAGCCCAGCATGGCAATGAGGCAAGTCACCGAATACAGGAGGCAAGCTCCGGAGAGCCCGTCCCCCCATCGGTGAACGGGAACGGCGTCGGGCGGCTCCTACTCTGAAGCTGGCATGGCGCCGGCTATGACCGTCACTGGGGGGTCTGGGCATTGCTGCTTCTCCCCTCCCCTCCCCCTGCGAAAGCAGGTAAGGACCGAGCTTCCCATGGTTGGTGCGGGATGCACAAAGCAAGAGAGACCAAGGTCTCTTTTCTCAGCGCAGGAATCCTGGAGCATTTTGGTTTGCACATCACAGGAAATAACAGGGTGAAGAGACACTCCCTGATCAGCTCCCCGATCCAAACACCCCACTGCTCTCCGGCCAAGGGGGTGAAAGCAGCATCTGTCGCCATCCACCGCAGGTGCGGGTGCTCGCTGCTTCAGGAGAACAGGCCCGAAGAGCTCCAAACCCTACTGCAAAGGCCCATCGCCCGCTCCCACCAACAGAAAAAACCCATCGCGGTTGGTTGTAAAGTGGCATACGTTTCCTTATATTTGCATGAATAGAGCACAAGTCATCCGATGCTTTACTGGACAGACTAATCTAACCGGGGACTGAAGCCAGGGTAAAAGCAGGCTTGGAAACACTTCAGCGGAGGGGGCTACTTCTCCACACACACACACCACCGTTGGGTTTCACAGGAGAGGCCCCTGCTCCGTTCTGAGTTATTTTACAAGAAGGCCTGGAGTTGCCCACTGAGATGAGGGCCTAGGCTCTGCTAGACACAGAGACAGTCCATCCCCTGCGAACCCCCCAGTGTCAATAGACAGGAGAGACAGGAGGAAGGAAGCATGGAGATCCTCCAAGCACTAGACCCCTGCTGCCTTCCCCCACCAGAGCTTTTCCCAGTTACTGCGTGGGAGGTGGGTCCGGGATCAGCGCGTGCCGCCCAACGCCTCTCCCTCTCTTGCATGTGTCGCTAGAGAGCAGAACAATCCTGATCACAGCTGCCCAACCAAATCCGGCAGCAAATTTTCTTTTCCTCCCCCCGGCCCCTGAAATTTTTGATTTTGGGGGTTTTGATGATTTCCCCTCTGAAGAGCTTCTCTGAACTTAAAGGGGAACTTTCCCAGAACACAGGACCATTTTGTGCTGGTCTGCCGGGTCCTTTCACGTCTGAGGGTTGCTTGGCAGCTCTGGGAGAGGGTTTCCATGGTGTGAGTGCTATAAACAGCAGGGGGGTGGTACTCGGCACACAGATGTCTAATCGCAATTAGCCCTTTGATGTAGTAACAGCAAGACCAGGCTCCCAGTAACAGAACACCTTGGGGCTAGCTACCCTCATGAACCCCCACTCCTCTGCCATTCACCTCTACAGGGAACCACCACCGTGTGAGCATCTTCGGGCCAATCTGAGACACACTCATTGTCCTTCCCGGTAATTCCCTGCTGCTGGACTGTGTCCTTCTCTTCCTTGGCCAAGCAGGGGCGAAAGGGGGAAGAGTGTAAGACCTTCCAGATCTCGGGTCGCCCCTCCCTAGACGTTACCCCTATAAGCAAGAGGGGACATGCTCCCTTTCAGGGACTGCAGTAACTTATTGCTCTGGGGGGCAGGTAAGGCTGGAACCAGACTCCCGACTCCGATTCCTTCTTGAGGTTGCACCTGACGGGGCTCAGCTCCGCCCTGCCGCACGAGCTTCAGGGCCTTCCCCACGGCCAGGTTCTGCCACCCTGGCTCACTTTCAGTGGCACTTTGCTCCAAGCAATCCTAGTGAGCCCAGCGGCAGAATCTAGCCCCGAGTCTTTAACCTGGTCAGTTTGTCCCTCATTAATCTCGCTTCTGCCAAGTCACCCTCAGCTCCCTGGATCTTCCTCAACACCTCCCCCCAGGTCCCAACCAGATTAGCCCTGGGAAGAGCCTGCTGCGAGCGGGATATTCTGTGCTGCTTTTCTGCCAGCCACGTGTAGCTTTGCCCCTGCGCCTTTCCGCCTTGCGGGATTCGGCACGCGGGGAGATTTTACTTTTATTTCTCCAACGGGATCCAGACTGTTCTGCGGCAAACCGCAATCTGACTGCCGTTTACTCAGCCAATTTCTACCGATCAGTGAATCCCCAGTACCCTCAGTCAGCCAACCAACTGTAAATCAGACACACTCCTATCTTCCTCTCCTCCGCCTGTAGTTCCCCTCCCCCCAAGCCACAGCACCATCTGCTCCTATTTCTACTTCAGAAAACTTCCCTTCCTCCAACGATCACAAAGAGAACAGGCCCCCGGATCCGATGTCTCAGTCACATGTACATCGACCCTGCAGGGCGCTAGCATTATCAAACGGAATAATAGATAAATAAATACATGGTGCATCCAAGTCCCTCCCCGCCCACGGCCCTGCCGCATCACGCAGCCAGAACGGTGCCTCCATCCCCGGGGAGCCCATTTTCCAACGTTGCTTCTTCAGTCACGCAGCTAGCGGGCCAGGCTCAGACGTGAGTGTTTCCTTCTCGGCGCGGGACATTCTGCACCGGGGCGCGTTGCCTCTCGCCACCCTCCTGCTCCGCGGTTGGTGACGAGACGCTGCTCCTGCTGGAGGACAGCGCACCAACCATGGAAAGACGGGCTCCATCCGGTTGGCTAATGTCCTCCCGCAGGGGGGGCGAGCCGTGCTGTGTTCTCCCCCGGCCCGCGGCGAAAGGGCAGATGTCGCCTTAGCCCGCACGGCCCTTTGCTTTCGCAGGCGCCAGCGCTGCATGTCCTGTTCCCTCCCAGAGTCCGCTCCTCCGCCTTCACTCGGGTTCCTCCTTCCCAAAACAGTTGCTGAGGGCTTCACACACGAGGTTCCGAAACAGGGGTGGGGTGGGGAAGCGTCACGAGGCAGGCTCCAGAGCTGGAGAAGGTGTCTTCTTCCATTCGGGTTCGTGGGTGGAACGGAGACCGTTCGGCTACAGAGTTTGAGTGGGGCACACATTGCACTTCAAAGCCCTTGGTAAGCTCTGATACGCCACCACGTCTGGTTCCTGCCGGGAAAGAGAGAAGGCCTCAGTGCCTGGCCAGCACGCCTCCCCCCACCGCCTGTGTCCTAAAGCATCGGCAGGAAATGACTGATCAGACGGGCCCAGATTCTCAGCTGGTGCCAAACAGCACCTCTCCCCAGAGCTACACCGAGTTACAGCAGCTGATGACCTCGCCCCTCGCAGTACGCCCAGTCCCACGTTCCCAGGAGTGGCCCTTTTGATTGTTCTCTTTCTCTTCCCCACCCAGAGGTGCTGGAACTTGGGGGGCTGCCGCACCCCCTGGCTTGAAGTAGTTTCCATCATATACACGGTTTACAGTTTGGTTCAATGGCTCTCAACCCCCCTACCCCCATCCCAACCTGCCTGTGAAGGAGATGGAGTGATCGGCCAGGTGGGATGGGAGAGTCTGTTCTCTTCCCTCCCTCCATCCATCTCTCTGCAGTCGGTGGAAGCTGCTGGAGCTCAGCACCTCTGGCCAGGTTTTCAAGAGTGCCCCACACTCAGCCAGCCCCGTTGCCCTCAGCAAGCAGGGAGGGGAGTCTCCATTGTTCTCAAGAAGCGAGGAGACGTCTCCGTTTTCCCAACAGGAGCTGCCGAGCGCTGAGCTCTCTTGAAAATCCAGCACCTCCCGCTGGGACCCAACACCTGCCCCGTTCCAGGACAGAGGCCACTTCTGAAAATTTGGGTCTAAGGCCTCGTCCGTCTTCAGCGCAGCAGCGGGTTGAGTAAAGGACGGATTTGCAACCAGTTCAGTTAAACGGGTGCTAGCTCCCTGTGTGGACACTCGTAATCTGATTTGAAACTGGTTTGTAGTGAGTGAGTTCATCAGTTCCTCATCCAATTCAACTAAATCGACAAACCAGATTTAAAATGAATTAAGAGCATCCACTCAGGGGCTTGTATTGGTTTAACTAAATTGGTTTTTCAAGTGGTTTAAATTAAGCCACTGTGACTTTGGCTACAGACAAGGCCAGTCCCTTGAGATGTGACCCTTTGGAGGAGGCAGTGTGGCCTAGCAGATAGAGACCTGGGTTTTATCCCTGGCTCTGCTACTGGCCTGCTTGGCAAGTCACTGCCTCGCTCTGTGCCTCAGTTTCCCCATCAGTGAAATGGGCATAAGGATCCTGACCTCCTTTGTAAAGTGCATTGAGACCTAGGGACGAGAAGAGCTAGGCACTAGGTCATTATTCCCATGCTGTAAAATGTCCAGCTCTGGGTAAACAGCAGCAGCTGCGGAAGAGCATCTCAACCCCTGGATGCTTTACCTGAGTCCAGCTCACTCTCCAAACCTTTCCAGGTCCTCCCATCCCCCGCGCTCTCCCTTGGCCACTTCTTTAAACACATGGACAGAAAGCAGCGTCCCCCTTACCTGGGGGCCTATGTGACCTCCTCGGATGTATTCTCGGGAGTCCTTTGGAGCTTGTCATAGATGGTGGTGATTAGAGGCTCTTTCTGTGGGCTCCGCTCCGTGTTATTTTCCAGGTGACGTAGGGCCTGAATCAAAAGCAGACACGTTTGTTATTGGAAGGACTTTGCAAGCCGTTTTCTCTGCAGATGAATTTGCTAAAAATTCTCCCCCCAAATCAGCAAGGATTGAATGTGCCAAAGCACAGACTTCTACCACCTGAGCTAGCAGAGCAACTCCATTAACTGGTAACAGTTGTAGGTTGTTATCCTCTAGGCAGACCAGAGCGGGACATGACACACAGTGCTGTTACCTTCGCAGCAGTGGACATGGCTTCATCTCACCCCTCCAAACTCAAACCGCTATGCTAAATGAGGAAACCCTGGTAGGAACATTGTTTGTCTGAAATGTTTGGTCCTCAGTCCTTGCAATGGGTTGATGTGTCTGTAACGACCTCACCATGGGTCCTCAGCATGGATAAACCCAGCACCTTCAGCCTCAAGAAGCACAAACCACATCGACTTGAGCTAAAGGAACAACACTGTTAACCAACAGCAGTAGTAGGTTGTTATCCTCTCTGCATACCAGTCACTAGAGGGAGACATGGCACACTTGGGCAGCTGGGGTTCATGTTCACATAACAATGTCTTGGTGCAGCATGCCAACCTGTGGCTGTACCAGTGCATTCTGGGATCCTGGAGCCACTGATCCCATAGTACCTTATACTTCTGCTGTAGGCAAAGACTACTGGGTAGTTTCCAGCCTGCATTGCGGGACAGGATGCATCTGAACCCTTGGGACTCCCGGCCTCTGCGTCAGTGTATAGACAAAGACGTGTGTGTGCGCGCGCGTGCGTGTGTAGACAAAAATGGTGTGTGTGTGTACAAAGACGGTGTGTGTGTGTAGATAAAGACAGAGAGAGAGAGAGAGAGAGTGTGTGTGTAGACAAAGATGGGGTGTGTGTGTGTGTGTAGACAAAGACGGTGTGTGTGTGTGTGGGCACCTCTCCACATTCCCCACATGTGCAGTGCCCGCCCGGAGAGCTCCTCCATGTGCAAACACAGCCAGAGGACCAGCTGGCCTGCTCCCCTCCCGAAACCTAAACAAGGAACAATAAACAGGCCAGTGCGGATGTGGTGTAGGACGACACACTGAAGGCTCCTACGATCTGTCTTCACCGCACAGCACAGCCGGGCTCTGAGCAGCCGCCCTGCAAAGCCCCGCCCATGTTACTGAGTCCCCACTGGTGTTTGCACTCCCCACCCATGCCGCTAGGACTTCTGGGGACAGATCCCCCGGCCCTTAGCGCTGCCGTGAGCCCAGCCTCTCAGATTCTTTCCCAGTGGTTTGTGGGAAACTTGTTCGTCCTTCTGGGCATGTAGGGGATTGTGGGAAGGCGCCGGAGGGCTAGGCGGGCTGTAGCCTGCAGCGACGCCGCAAAGCGGGTGGGGGACCAGCCTGAGTGAAAGCAGCATCTTGGCTCTAACCACCCTCCGCGGAGCCAGCTAGTGCAGGTTTGAAAGTGCCACTGAACTCAGGTGAGAGGGTTGTGTGTGGACGGGAGGGTGTTAGGGGCAGCCCGAATAGGAGCCATACAAGAGACATACAAGGGTACCCCCCAGTGAGGTACACACCCGGGGGAGATCACACCTCCAAAGGGAAGAGAAGAGACAGACACACGGCAGAGAGAGCAACACCCTTCCAGGAAGGACACATGCACCTACGAGAAAGACAGCCCCGGCCCCCAGAATGGAGCAACACACAGAGAAGCTGTACGCGCACCCGAATGACAGCCGCAGCCCCGGAGGAGATGCACAAGCCAGACAGGGGAACAGCATGCAGCACACAGGAGCATCACGTGTCCACGCACGCACACAACCCAGCCGAGAGAGAAGTCAGGCAGACACTTACGCACGCCTCCCCGGGCGCAGAGCCGGACGCTCCCCAGAGGAGATGCACACACACACACACACACACACACACACACAGAGCAAAGAGCAGCCACACCCAGACCGAAGAGCGACACAACGGACAGAAAGGAGCAACGCACACGCCAAAGAGAGAAAGAGCCCACCCGCTACTCCCTCTCCTCCTCGCACCAGGCAGCTCGTGGTTGACAGAAGTGATCGTTTCTGCTGGGCAAAACAGCAGCACCTGTTGGCCGTAGCAAGAGGATGTAACTTCCTGCTCCGGCCCGCAGCGGACACAATAAGGATGTTTAAAGAGGGAGTCAGAATCCCGCTCCTAGAGAGCTCGCAGTCCAAACACACAAAGGGCGAGACATCCAGAGAGAGGATCTCTTTCCGACAGCTCTGCCTGCTGCAGCACTTATTGCTAATGTCTAATGAAAGAGTCCGGCCATCCCCCTGCACAAGGCAGAGCTGGGGCTCGGCGGGGAAGGCTGCTGCTGGATAACCTCAGCTCAGAGCACTCACCTGGTCATTTCCTTCAGGGGGACTCCTCATGATCTCAGCGTACTGCGGGTCGGACGGACTTTCTTCCACGGGGCCCGTGGGGGTGGCAGCTGAGGAAAGAGCGTGAGGTTAAGAGAGGAGCGAGAAAAGCAGCCCGGAGCGTCGGGATCTTTGCCCGTCACGTCTCACGTCTGTCGTGAGCTGAGCCCCGCCGCACAGCTCCAAATCCACAGAGCCACCCCCACCAAATCACGGGCAGGGAATCCATGCGAGTCCTTCTCCAGAGAAGACACAATCGGCATGTTTGATGCTAAGATGCTGGATCCTGGGTACATTCGGATCCATAGGCACGGACTTCTGCTCCCGCCGGTGGGTGCTTGACCCGCCTCTGCCCCCAGCCCCGCCCCCATTCTAACCCCTTCCCCAAAGTCCCCGCCCCAACTCCGCCCCCTCACTGCCCCTATTCCGACTCCTTCCCCAAATCCCCACCCCGGCCCTGCCTCCTCCCCTGAGCGCATCACATTCCCGCTCCTCCCCCTCCCTCTCTCTCCCAACATGCCGCCGAATAGCTGTTTGGTGGCGGCAAGGCGGGAAGCGTTGGGAGGTAGGCGGAGGAGTGAGGACGTGGGAGCTTGGCTGCCAGTGGGTGCCCGTGGGTGCTCCAGCCCCGGAGCACCCACAGAGTCGGCGCCTATGTTCAGATCATAATGAAAAAGGGGTTAAGGCCTTGACTATGCCGGGCATTGGGCCTATTCTCCCCGTGGCCAACTCTCATGAGTTTATTGTGAGCCTCGTGGTAGTTGGTGTGTTTCTTAAAGCCCTAGCTCCCGGAGTCATGTGATTATGGGAGAGTCTCAGTGCGCCTTAAAAAAAAAAAAAAAAAGCCAGATTCTAGCCCCCTTTGCAGAAGAGAGTTCAGATCAGAGCCCTGCACAGGACTATTATTTCATCCCACTCCCGCTATTACAGCAGCGCATCCTGCGGGATCCCAGTCCTGCCACAGGGCTCTAGTTCAGACATCACGGCAGAGTCCAGCCCTGGTGCGAGCGGTGGGCTGGAAAGGGCTTTCCTTACCCGGGTCAGCCGACTTCTCGTTGTTCATCCGCCAACACCAGACGGCAGTCCCAAGGCTTAGCACTAACAGGAAGAAAGTCAGCACAATGTACCCCGGCTTCGAGAAGGACGCGTCTGCATCTGGAATGGCAGAGGCCGGAGGTTAGCAGCATCCCACCAGGGCTTGTGGGTAATGAAGAGCCAGGGCTTAACGTCCCCTAGCCATCAGGCCGCGGCTGAAGGAGACGCCGCTGCTGGGGCCTGAGCCGAAGGGGAACCTTCAGTGGGTGTGGGACAGACCCTAGTGAGAAGGGGACTTCAGACTCTACCCCCAGCAAGGCCATTTGCTCCCAGTCATGGGGGTGTTATCTGGTCACATGGTGCCTCTCTGAAGAGTAACCAGACCCAACGATGACTGAGCTGGATACAAACCAACGCCCCAAATTCCCTGAGGCACGCGGTCCCTTTCTACGCTGTGTAGCAAACGGGTCAGTGTTTCTCAGGGCAACTCCTCACGCCCCTCATCAAATCTGCGGCTCCCATCCCCATCTGGGCAGCACGAGCAAACGTAGCATCAGGACACCGAAGTGAGGTAGAGAGGCGGGATCGTCCCTCGTTTTTACAGACGGAAACTAAGGCACCGGGGGGGGGGGGAGGGAGTGGCTGGACCCAGGCCACCTAGCAGGTTAGTGGCTGAGCTGGGAATAAAAGTGAGGTCTCTGGAGTGCCAAGCTGGTGACCTAACCACTAGACCGCACTCTCTCCCTGAAACAAAGCATCAGGTGTTGCCATCAACAGAGACAGGCCACAAACCCCTCACCTCCACTGCGGCAGATGCTCTGCAGGTCGAAGGCGACGATCTTCTGATCCACAGGGTTGCTGACCGTGCAGGTGTAGGTGGCGTTCAGGGAGCTGGGCTGCAGAGACAGCTGGAGTATCCTGCCATCAGGGGAGAGCTGGTGCCGACCGGGATCCAGCTCTTGGACCGGGTTGCCTCTCCCCCAGGAGATGCTCACATTTCCCTTCCCCGAGCCCTGGCACTGCAGCGTGACGTTGCAGCCCTCCAGCGTGCTGGCGAGCAGATGACTCCGGATCTGGGGCTGTGGCACTGGCTCTGTGTTCAAAGACAAGCGACACTCAGAGGAATGGGATAGGCTCCGGTCACCGTGACAGCTGATCCTTGCTGCTCGGAGCCCCCACACCCCATTCACCCCATCCCAGGGCAGGTTGGAAGTTCCAGAAGGGAAGAGCGTGACTGAGCGCGCCCTTAACGAGGCAGAAATTCCTCGGAACGCAGGAGTTCTGAGTGTAACTCAACAGCACGGTCCAGGGGACGGGCAATCACAGAGGTGGTCTACAGGAGAAGGTGAGGTTGACCCAGCTACGTTGCTCGGGGGTGGGGGGGAGAATTTCTCACCCCCTGAGAGATGTAATTAAACCACCCTACGCCCCAGCATAGGCAGCGCTAGGTTGATGGAAGAATTCTTCCGTTGACCTAGCTGCTACCTGCGTCTGGGAGAGATGGATTGACCACAGGGATGGAACAAGCCCTACCGTGGCTGTAGCAAGTGTTCACACCACAGTGGCAGTGCCATTGTAGAGTTTCCAGTGTAGACACGGCCTTAACCTCACATCAGCATGGGGGGCGGGGAGAGGGCTGGTTCGGCCGGCTGTCCACAGTGGGGAAACTGGGGCTGAGTTTTCCTTTGTGTGTTCATTCCTCCAGTCTGTCACCAGACACAAAACGCCCAACCAAAGCCCCGGGGCTTTGACAACGGAGTCAAAGATACGATCTCCCATGGAAATGCCTTTGTATCTCCAGGTAGACCTGCCATGGCTCGGTTCTCCCCCAGCAGCGCCAGGCAGGAACTAGAGCTCCAAGGTGCTAGGAGCTGCATAAACATAGAACAAAAGGACAGTCCGTCCCCCCCAATGAGCCTGCCAGCTCTTCCCTCCGTCCAGGGGCAGCTCTAGCATTTTTGCCGCCCCAAGCACAGCAGGCAGGCTGCCTTCGGCGGCACGCCTGCGGCAGGTCGGCTGGTCCCGCAGCTTCGGCGTACCCGCCGCCTAATTGTTGCCGAATCCACGGGACCGGCAGACCTCCCGCAGGCATGCTGCTGAAGGCTGCCTGACTGCCGCCCTCGCAGGGACCGGCAGGGCGCCCGCCGCGGCTTGCCGCCCCAGGCACACGCTTGGAGCGCTGGTGCCTGGAGCCACCGCTGCCTCTGTCTATCTCACCCCCAAGGGCCTGACGCAGGCAATGGCAGTTTTGCTGACGACTCCAATGGGAGTGGAATCAGGACCCAAGTGGATGGGTTTTGCAACACACCCAGAAAGTTGATCCATCCAGCCTCTTAGCGGGCCCAGGTGGGGGAAGCAGGTTCGAGACCCCAGGAGCCCGCCTGGATGATTCCCTGCTGATAGACCCTTGTCTTTGTAAACCACGGGAGGTGCAGCAGCTCCAGTGATCTCCCTGCAGCAGATGGCGTGATATGGTACCTGGCCACCCGTCTTGTCTATCAGGGAGCCCTCGTAACCCCAGAAAACGTGCGCTACAGCTGCTGGGATTGTATTGTAACAAGCATGTCTGGGTCATCCCAAGCACTAGGTAAACAGTTCACCTCCTGTTCACCTGGGGAAAGGGTGACGGGAGCCGTCTGGCTGCTCAGTCTAAACAATAAATATATGGAGATATACCTACCTCATAGAACTGGAAGGGACCTTGAAAGGTCATTGAGTCCAGCCCCCTGCCTTCACTAGCAGGACCAAGTACCATCCCTGACAGTTATTTTTATTTTTTTGCCCCAGATCCCTAAGTGGCCCCCTCAAGGATTGAGCTCACAACCCTGGGTTTAGCAGGCCAATGCTCAAACCACTGGGCTAGCCCTCCCTCCTGCTGGGTGACCTAAGGCATGTGCCTGCCCCGTGCCTCAGTTTCCCCATCTGTAAAATGGGGATAACGCTTCTGACCTCTATTGTAAATTGCTTTGAGATCTACAAATGAAAAGAGTGAGGGATTATCGTTAATATCAGCACTTCAGCCACTGTGTATTCCTGGAAACGCTGTTAGGTAATATCCATTTGTCGTCACTTACGATAGACCGCGAGGAGAAAGGCCTGTTCCTCCACAGTTGCTGGTACTATCTTAATCCGGGCCTCATAAACTCCGCGATCGCCCAGCTCCAGAGCCCTGATCCTCAGCGAGGTCTCGTTGTACCTTTCTAGCCTCTGCTTAAATCTGTCCTTGGGATCGGGTCGCTCAAACTTCCCCCCACTGAACTCAGCCAGCTGAATCGTCACACCTGTCCCAGCACGAAAGCTCCATTCGATTTCTTTCACCTTTCTCCCGGGGGACAGATCCACAGACAGCACGACTGATCCTCCCAGAATCCCATTCACCTGGCGGAGGGGTGTCGGTGCTTGTGCAACCAGGATATCTAAGAAAGAGGGCAAGGCAGAAACGTTACAGCCTTCTAGCGTGTCACAAGATAAACAGAAAAGCAGCAGAAAGGAGGCGAACTGAAACATGGTTTTTAGTTTGTTAAATTTCCCTTCCAGGCTGCATCTCTTTTAAAAATAACCTCCCCTGCCCCCGCCGTGTGCTCTCGATAGCACGGCAGGTTATGTCTACACTGCAGCCGGGGGGCGCGTTTGCAGCAGACAGACATACCCGCGGTGTCTACACCTGCCACAGTCACACACCTGAGGGCAGCGTAGACACTCGCTGAGAAGGGAAACGCCTCTGTGATGCACGGCTAGAAAGGGCTAAACATCCTGCCAAATAAATAACCCTCATAAGACATGTGGAGAGATAACGTTTGTGGTTTTGTGTATTTACATATGTATGAGAAGATTGGACAATGTAACCAGCAGTCCCTGTCTATGCTGTTTTCTGATAATTCAGAGGTCAAAAGAACATCCTGTCATGTAAATGAATTGTAAATGTGGGACATCTCGGCATTCATCTCTCTTTGAAATGTACTGTGAATGGTGGAGGAACAAGCAAATGGCCTTATGTTAATGCGTATAGCTAAGTGCTGGTGATGGACCTCCTTCAAAGTCATCCTAATCACCTTTTGTTCCCTGAGGAATTCCAACTTGTCAAAAGACATGAAATTGTATAAAAGATCCTTGGTCCTGATTCTGTCATCTCAGATCTGCTTAAGCTTCATCAGGGGAAGTTTGAGTCGCAAGACTGAGGCCCCAGTTAGGCTGGTATGCCCTGAATGTGAGATTTGGACATTGGACTTTAACCTATGAACTATTGCTGAAAGAACTCTCTGCAACTACAAAGCTCACCATCTCTGCTCTGAATCTGAACCTCAGTGAATCGAACTCACCTCCGTATGTATACTGATCTTTTAACCAGACCCTCTCTCTTTTGTTTTTAAATAAATGTTAGTTTAGTTAATAAGAATTGGCTGTAGCGTGTATTTGGGTAAGATCTGGAACATTCATTAACCTGGGAGGTGATGTGTCCGATCCTTTGGGATTGGTAGAACCTTTTCTTTTATACGATGAAATAAGATTTACAGAATTTTTCATCAGATTTGACGTGGGTACCTGGATGGAGGCCTGTTGTTTGGACTTCTGAGTAGCCAGTGAGGTAATAAAGAAGCTGTTTTATGCCTTTTTTTATCCACCAGCGTTATGGGGATTGTCTGCCCCATTCTTTGCAGTTCACCTTAATTGAGGGACCACAGCTGGCCCCCACTAGGGGTCACAATCCCCCCCCCCCCCCCGAGGGCAGTGTAGCCACATGCTGAGAAGAAAGGGAAACATCTCTCTGCGCAGAGGGTTTGCACAAGGCACGCTGCACCACTGGAGTTCTCAGCATAGGGTTTCAGAGGGCGCTAAGTGGCGCTTATGCCCTCTGTAGTGGCCCTTTGCATGGGGTACATTCACCCTGCACAAGTTTTGCCTGAGCCTGCAAATCTTTACTCAGGTGAATAGTCACGTAGGCCACAAAGGTGTTTAGGCTCCTGACTGCCCTATAGAAGTTTGATGGCATTTAGGCTTCTATGATCTAGACCGTAGACTGTGAGCTCCTTGGGGCAGGGACTGTCTTCGTTCTGCGGTTGTCCGGCCCCTCGCACAGCAGGATCCTGGTCCAGGAATGGAGCTGCCAGGTGCCACTGCAGAACAGATGGATAATAATTACAACCTCATGGAGGTCAAGGGCTTGCAGGACTAGATCCGCATGTGGAGACCATTTGGTCAGGGTAATGCATTTCCCCATATCCAGCCTCCCGGTTGCACGGAGACTTTCCTGTTGACAAGGAAACTGGCAAAGATTCTCAGCTCAGCTGTTTCTCTTTAGCCCACGTTCCTCAGAACCGCTTTGGTCGAAAAGAATTGGAGCAGGAATCTCATCAGACCAACAGCCCCTAAGATTTCGGGAAGGGCTCCCCATAAACAGGGCCAAGTCGCCTCGCTTTCCTCCTTTGCCCGAGTACCTGCAGAAAGATTGACAGCAGCGAAGCAGCTGGTGAGCTGAGACCCCCTGCGGAGTAATAGTTCAGGGAGCGTGTCTACATGGCCATCATGCACCATTCAGATACATTTTAGTTAGTGCTGGTCTGGTTGCGGGATCCTCTGCCAAAGCCTAGCCCTGAAATCACCTTGGACAGAGGGAAAATGAACGGTCTATATTTTGTTTCTATAACGACAAATGCCAGCCTCATTAAAAGCCAACTAAAGCCTGCTGAGAAATCTAATATTTCTTTGGGATTAGGCCAGCGGATCCCCCCACCATCTGGTGCATTTGCAAAATGTGTTGACAGGCACGTGTGCGCAGCGCAGGGGAGTTTCGCCCTGCCTGAAGAACGATAGCGGGCCAGCTCAGATGTCTTTGCTGAGGCAAAGCCTTCCTTGGAGTCAGCAGGGGCATATGTCCCCATGGCGTAGATTAGCTTCGCTTTATTGACGTGAATAGGCGCCCTCAATGCCCAGCAGGTACCCATCAGCACTGCTCCATTGATTGCTATGGGAATCTTCTGATTTACAACAGCAGCGAATTTGGCCCTGGATAAACAATAGCTCACCCCTTAGGATTGGCTAGCTCCTCGAAGCTCCGTCTAGCTCAGGCAGGAGTTATGCGCTGGAGGCAGGAGGCACTGGGTGAGGTTCCCAGGCTGTGCTCTGCAGGTCAGACTCCATGTCAGAATGGTCCCTTCTGGGGTTAACAAAAACCATCTACAGAAAGGGATCATTTCACCCCTCACCCAAATGCAGCCACCTCTGGGGTAGGAGAGGGAAGCTGTTTAATACCACACCAGGGTTTCCTCCAATCTGATTTTAAAAGCGTGACATCAGCCCGTCAGCTGACCGGGTCTAGTCTCATCCAGCTCGGGCCAGAAGAGAAGGTGCTGTAGGCTGCTGGCCTATCTCCCCAGCTCAGGAAAGGCTCCCACCAGATCCAGCGCCACCAGCAAGCGTCAGAAAACCCCAAATAAAACAGCCCCCTGTAAACCCAGCAGCTTCCTGTCTCCAGCGCAGGGGTTTCCTGCTTCTGGCGGCTCTTCCCCGTGGTCCCCTCCACAGGCCAGCCACTGCCTATGGCTCCCCTTCCTACCTCTGCTCTTTCAGCCTTTATAGGCATCCCCTTCCCAGCTGGGTGTGATCATTCCGGCCCCCCCAGGCCCAGCTCCTGTTACCAAGAAGCGAGGTTAAGGAACCAGCTATGACCCGGGATGCCTGGCTTCCTCTGTGAGCTTGGGCACATCATTTAGGTCCAGATCTTCAAAGGTATTTAGGTGCCTAACTCTCACCGAAATCACAGGTGCCTAAATACCTTTGACAACATGGGCCGCCATTGCTCTGTGCCTCCGTTTCCCCATCTGTACAACGGGGACAGTCGCACTGCCCTGCTTCACAGGGGTTTGGTGGGGACAAATCCATTAATGAGTGTGGGGTGCTCAGATATTAAGGTGATAGGGGGCCATGAAAGTACCTAGGATTTATAGTTTTAACCCTGGTGCCCTGACTAAATTCCAACTTGGCTGCAGTCTTGAATAATGTTGCGGTGTGCTGTTAAACAGCTGCCCTGCCCCACCCCAGAGGTGGGCGAAACGATCTCTGGCTAGAACGTGTTAAGTCTTTGGGATGAAAGGTGCCACGTTATTGAATTTAACCCTAGTCCCACAAGCCGTGATTTCCCTTCTCTCGACGCCAGCTTGGATGTGGAGAAGAAACAGCTGTGCCTGTGTATTAAAGAAGATTAAATACCGACATCAGAGAGTTTACTTCTTATAAGCCTTCCCGCAGCCCACTTTACAAGCTGCCTCTTTGCATTGCTTTGTACACATCTCTGCATAAGAAGTGCTCAGCATCCGTGGGGCTTTTGTTATGCTGATCCTATTTGTCTGAGACTTCCTTTGATTTTCTTTTTTTTTTTTTTAATCAGTGCTTTCAAACTCTTGTGGCTTTCCTGTGATTTAGCTCCCCTTGCATGTCACCTGTGCGAGGCTAGCAGGTTTACAGTGATTGTACAGAGAGGAAGAGACGCCTGGTGGTTAGGGTGCTAACCTGTAATGCCGGGTCCTGACTCAGGAAAGTCGCTAAGCACGGGCTAACGGGTCAGATTTTCTCCAGCGCTCAGGACCAGATGTCCCAGCACTCAGCACTCACACCTGGGGCTGGACTGTCTGGAGGGCACAGCGCCCCATGGAGATCCAACGTACATATCTGAACATCTAGCCTCACTTGTGGGTATCGAGCCCTTTTGAAAATCCTGGTCTCTGGGGAAAATCCAAGCCGCCCACACAGCTCCCATTGACTTGAACGGGGACCTGGGTTTCCACCCGCGGCACTTCCCTGAATTAGGGCCTTTGTCAACGGGCAGCACAAAGCGAGTTGGCTTGGGCTGGGGGCTGTTTGTCATGAATCCCTGCCCAGGAAGGCAGATGAGGCCCCAAAGCCCTAAACCAAGTTAATTTGCCTCATCAGCATTTCCAGACTCTTGAGTCAGATCCACAACTTGAAAGCTCTGAGAGCCGACTTGCACCTGCCTGTATCAGGGACATCTGTGGCCCCAGGTGTGTTTCTTTTGATGTTTCCACAACAAACAAAAACAACATGAATTAACCACCGAGGCCCAACTAACTGTGTTTACCAAACACACATGAAGGCACCAGGCCTAGCTACATGCACGCTACTTCTCTGGCTGGCTTCTAAAACCCAGAGTACAGTAAACACACTTGCAAACTACTTAACAGGATACTACTCTATTCCTGGATGCAGCAACCCCCGCGACGGTAGCACCTGAGTGCCTCAACTCTTTAATTTATTTAGTCTCACAACACCCCTGTGAGGCAGGGGAGGGTTGGTACCCCTGTTTTACAGATGGGGAAACTGAGGCACAGAGAGACTAAGTGTCACACAGGAAGTTTGCGGCCGAGCAGGGAATTGGTCAATTTGACTGCTGAGAATTGGGTGAAATCCTCTGGCTTGTGTTATACAGGGGACCAGACTAGATGATCAAAATTCACCCTTTTGGTCTTAAAATATATGAATTAAAGTTTCAGGCTAGGGGGCTAACCCCTGAACCATCCTTCCTCATCTCTGGAACACTTGGCTTTATTAGTGCTTCCAACTGTATTTAATTTTAGGGATGTTCATCAAGATCTCTGCAAAACACTGCTTGCCACTGTCCTCATCCGTTCTCAGGCCAGTTTACCAGAGGCCAGTAGCTCGACTGATGTGTGGGGCTTGCCATGATACTGACATCCGCTTTAGAAGAGGCAACCGTTCTACAGCGACATAGTTGGTCTCAGCGGCTCCGTTTGCCGCTGCCGCACCATTGTTCAGGGTAGTCTAAGGAAATGGTTTGGAAAAACCACCCTGGCTGGGTCACTTTGCTACAATGAAATCGTTTCCTGAGTTTGTCCGCGTGGTGCGATTTTTATCCTGTTTACCCAGAAGTTGTTTGGAACAGGTTAATCTTGGTAAATCCCTGGAAAACTGGAAAAAGCTGACTGCTCGTGGGGGAAGAGTGGATCATAACAGAAAGGTCTAAGAGTTGAAGGGGAGAAGCGTAAATACTGTGGTGCCATAGGAAACTCTAAGATAGATCAGCTAGCAGGATAGATAAATAGATGGGAAAGATCACTGAGTAATGCTGAGAGATAGAGATAGATGTAGTATGTAGTTAAGAATTATAACTGGTTTGAACCAAGTGATCATGGTGTATTTTGTACATGGATCAGTCCAATTCCGGTCTAATGAAATGACAGCAGGGACGTGCAGTTGTTAAGAGAGATTTTTTGGATCTGCGTTTGTTCAGTGCTAACCCATTTTTGGTTGCGGCTCATTGCTACACCAGACCTATGTCCTATACAATTGTGCAGATAGAGGAGAACAAAGAAAGCAATTGGGAAGTGGTACATTATCAGAAATGTCTTTTCATCTTCCTCATCTGCACGGCAGAATCATGAACCTTGGGGTTGAGACAAGCATCCTTTTTTAAAAAAAAAATGGTGACATGATGTTTTGCAGCAGCATATTTTGTAAAAACAGCACGTTTTAGGAACAGGATCTCCCTGCTGATCTGTCCCTGCTATTAAATGGTTTCTCTAGGAACTGCGGCTTTGGTGAGAATTATTAGATTTGTGGATTAGCAAAGTGAGAATTAACGGAGGTTCTTCTGTCTTGTTTTACATAAGAGCCCAAGCTCTCAGCTGATATAAAATGGCAAAGCTGCACTGGGTTCAGTGGGTCTACAGCAGTTTACACCAGCTGGGCATCTGGCCCATAACGTTCATGAGCTGTTGATAAAAATCTGATGATAAATTTGCAGAGACTAGTCTCCTTTCCTCAGCCACCTGAAAAATCAACAACCTAAGGAAGAAATCCCGATTGTCAGCCTCGTTTATTTCTTTGGTGACACAGTTATACATTCTTTTAACAAAAACCCCACACAATCAACTGGATTAGATAACACTCTGGAAAATATCTAGCAACGAATCTGCAGTGGGTGAAAATAAATTGGTCTAGAGAACTGTTACACCTCTATTAATATATCTTTAATATTCCACTCACATTAATTTAACATTCAATAACTAGCCAATCTAAAAAAATGCATAGAAAGCGACCATAAAAACACTGAAAACAATTTACCATGGGGGAAAAAACATACCAGCTGGTTCTCCCTCCAGTCTCCTGCTCTTTTGCTATAAATTCTTACATTATAGTATTCCTTAGTCCTTGTGCCACACTCTGCCCTCTGCGTGTACAATTTAAACCAGTTCTGGTTTACCTACCTGGAGAGAGGCTGATCAGCATCACTAGCAATAAAGGGAGAGAGGGTTTTTTGCTGGCCACCTCCATGTCTTCACTGCTCTCTGTGCGTCTCTGTGCTGATCCTGGTAGCAGAGGCAGATGCTGCGAGGTGGGGAGGAGCAAAACTGCATCATGGCACACCCTCTAGGGGTCTGTGCATGCAGGAGCTTAGCACCGTTATTAATTAACTGATTAGCCATTGGTACACGATGGAGCATGCAGGGCACTGGTCAGTGCATACAAAAAATCATAATTGCTTCTCTCACGGCTGGATTCGCAACATGGCCCTTCCGCCAGGCGGTCGAGAGCTTGCTTATAGCCAAGTATTGAGTCCTGGCTCGTTAAGGAATCTTACATCAGGACAATTAAATCATCACCTCCCCAGATTCAAACCCCCCTTGAGCTGGGGGCATTCCTGCTAAGTCCTGTGCTACAGAAAGGACATTGTCTCCTAAGCTAAGGGCTGGCCTGTGCACTGGTTTAACTATGTCTGTGTCTCAATCAACCCTAACGAGGTTCCACAGGGAAACACCAAGAATGATGGAACCCAGGGCCCGATCCTGGGTGGGGCGGAGAACCTTCAACTCACATTGACGTCAAAGGGAGCTAAAGGCTCTGAGGCCCAGATCCTGAAAGGGGTCTCGCCCCTGATCTCCCATGGGAGTCAGGCAGCGAAAGGACCTGGGAGGGGCTGGGCCTCAGGACTTTGTAGGAAGAACTGAGAATCCTGCAGGATCCTGGGATTACTGAAGACAAAGGCCAAAGCTCCGGGGCTGCCGTCGCTGTGAATTCATTTACCGCAGCGCAATGGTCTCACCACCCTTCTGAGCTGGTGGCGCTTTATGCCCACTTTCCACAGGTGTAAAGAAGGGCACAAGAGAACCGGGTGGCAGAGAACCGGGCCTGCCAAGGCCCTGCAGCCACCAAGCCTGCGGAGAGCCAAAGATCTGCATGCTGATCGAGTACGACTGTGACTAAATCAATTCCGTTTGACCCCTGAGCTCCATCATTTCACTGGGGGCTGAAAACGCCCTCTGGGCAGCTGCGGGAGAGAACAGGGTGGTCCTGCGAAGAGAATCACGTGCCAGAGAAGGGGAATATCCCAGTTGGGCTCGTCTACGTACCTGGCTTGCTGTTCTGAGGCACAGAACGGGGACATCCGAAATCCTCGGGGAGGAGGCGGCTGGGTCGCCTGTTAACAAGCAGCAGCATCAGCGACAGCAACAAAAAAGGATCTCGAGCCATGGACAATTGAAGTAGGGCCTGGCCCATGGCAGCCGATGGAAATGCTCCCCAGGACAGGTGCAAGAGTCACCGGGGTGTGGATCAGCCCCTTGAACCGAAGCCATCTGGCTGGCAATCTGGGCCGGCTTATTCCACTCCCAAGGAAGTCAATAGAGGGTCTTTCCCGAGAGTTGGCTCCCTTCAATCAATGGGAGTCTTTCCCTGGGCTGAGGCACTTAACTTACCCAGTTTTCAGCACCCCTGCTCTCCCAGCGATCCCAGGATATGCACGCACCTGTGGCCAGGCCCTGAGCCCCCGTTCCCTGTTGCGCTTGGGAGCTGCCGTCTCGGAGAGCCGGGCGTCTCACGTGAACGATCAGCGTCTCCATTGACCTCCGTGCAGCCACGCTGATTTACACCAGCTGGGGACCTGGCCCAACGCCTCTGCCACGCTATGGCCAGTGGGCTGTGCTAGAGATGCGTGCACCAGACTGGAATTGAAACACGAGGTTCCCAACCGCCTCGTCTGTTGGGGAAGTAGAAGGCAGACAAGCTACTCTCAGAACAGAGAAGTATTTGCAACCAGCGCTTTTATTATAGACTTGTTCAGGGAGTCAAATTCTGCCTATAGGCATGTAGTCCAGCCAGCAACCCTGTGCATCCAGGCCAGGGCTCAGTGGGGCCACGCACAGCAGGACACACTTCGAGCTAGGGGGCCAGAGGGAACCACAGGGTCTGTCTGAGTCCAGCAGCCTGGGTAAAGAATCTCCTTTCTATTCATCACAGACTAGCCCTGAGTCTTCTCTACACGGAGGGTGCGATTTTCATTAACTCTTAGGAGGGGTGCAAATGTGTACCTGCAGGCAGCACTGTGCCCAAACTCTCCTGCTTAGACAACGCGGCGGGCCCAGCTTTCACCGAAGGGGGTTGTTGGCTGCCGAAGCCATGGAGGGAAGCAAGCACCAAACACAGGATGGCCAACGCGGGCATCAGCCGGATGATATTCAAACCTATGGAACAATACTGGATGAACTGGTCTGATATGATTCAGCAACACTGCCAGTAAAAAGGAGGAGTCACCGCACGACTAAACACCAGACTAGATAGAACCATCAGTGTTAACAAGAGGTGGTGAGGGGGAAGGGTGTCCAATGGATTAGGTAGTAGGCAACAAGACCCAGATCCTTAAAATCAACAGGAGTTAGGTGCCTACGTACCTCTGAGGATCTGACCCTGAGTCAGGGCTCCTGGGTTCGAATCCTGGTTCTGCCAATGATTTGTGAGCCAGTTGTTATGCCTCATTTCTCCTCTCTATGAAAGGGGGACACTAAACAGGGCTGGTCAAAACTTTTCCTTCTACTTCTCTTTTTTTGCTGGAATGTGGGTTTTCGACTCTAAGGGCTTGTCTACACCCAGCCGCTAGTTCGGCGGCTGGGGATCGAAGTTCCGAGTTCGATTTATCGCGTCTGGTCTGGACGCGATAAATCGAACCAGGAAGTGATCCCCGTTGACTGCGGTACTCCAGCTATACGAGAGGAGTACCGCGGAGTCGACAGGGAGCCTGACCGCCGCGTGTGGACCGCGTCTGAACCGCGGTAAGTTCGAAGTAAGGTATGTCGAATTCAGCTACATTATTCACGTAGCTGAATTTGCATACCTTACTTCGACTTGGGGGGTAAGTGTAGACCAAGCCTAAGAAAATGTTGGCAGAAAGCATCTGCTGCCCTAGAAACATTTTGGTTTTCCATCAGAGACCCGAGAAACTCAAAGAACAAATGTTTTCCCAGCCCGGGACCACACGTATTTCAGGCTCCAACAAAAAAAGTCTCCATTTTCTGCTGAAAACTTTGACGAAAAGGATTCCCGCCCCCTTTCCGACGACATTTTCCAGGAGGGGAGAAACCCCCTTTCCCAAGCAGCTAATAATAGTCCTGGCCCTCGGTAGCAAAGAGCTGGCTGAAAAGAGGGAAGTGTTGCTGACGAGAAGGAAAGATTATTTTTGATTAAAAAAAACCCCTCAAAGCAAAAAAACAAAGGAAGAGCTTTGACATAAGGGGCTGTTTTGTTTCAGAAGGACAAAGCCGGGGGAGAGGAAATGTCAGGTGTTTCCTATTCTGCTATCAGCAGTTCTGGAAGTTCAAGGAAAAGGATTCACCTATTCCCAAAAGACTAATTAAGCCATTCTCCAGCTGGAGCACCTTCCACTGGAGAATCTCAAAGCCCCTTACAAATCCGAGGGTGAAATCCACACAGGAGCAGAGGGCTGGCCTAAGATCTAGGCACCAAATAAGCTTGTGCAGTTGCCCAAATATTCACAGCAAAGAATCCAGGACAACCCAGTGGCTTCGCATGAGGCCCCTGGTGAATTGTCGTGAACCTCGAGCAAATTCACAGAAACTGATTGGTCTGGGGCTGGTTCCTGGATGGAACAGCGGAGGACTAAATGGTGCAGAGTTTGCAAGCGGTCCACTTGCGAGCTGGAGGAACTGAAAGCTGCTGATATGAAGCTGGGAGCCAATGGATGGGAACCACCTTCTTCCAGAACAGCCGGGGAAGCAGTTTAGAGAGAGGCTGGACGGCATGTTGTAAATTTCCCCAGATTCTTCAGAAAGGCAACGCATGGTTCTAGAGGGAAGTGAAACCAATCACAGGAGGGCTGATATCCTTCTGGCAGCTGACAATTCTCTTTGGGGTCGCTAGATCTCAGCGGGGGCGTGTTTGGACCTAACCGCCCATCCTGACCTGGTCCACGGGGCTTCTATTGCCACGTCAGCGCAGCCACGCCCTAACACCTGCCCCTACAGTGATGCCTACAAGCGAGCCGGACTCAGGAGGAGGGCAGCTGGGGTAGTTGATAGTGATCCATGATTTACAAACAAACAAACACGGCACCAATAAAACGGGTGTCGATCATTGCCTAGCTACCCAGAACCCTAGACGCTACGGCCAAATGGGGCGACTGTGGCCATCTAATCTGACCTCTGGCGTAGCAAAGCCAGAGGCTTTCACCCAGTAGTTCCTGCACTGAGACCAACAACTTGTGGGTGAGCTAGAGTGGGTCTTGGACAAATGCAGCCAGTCTCAATGTAATGACTTCAAACACTGCACCACATCCCTAAGTAAATTGTTCCAAGGGTCAGTTACCCTCTTAAAGACGCGTATCTACTAGGAATCGGCGGTTAAGTCTCGGAGTTTAGGCACTTAACGTCCATTGACTTTAAAGGGAGGTCGCTTTTACGCTCTGGGCCTCAGATGCTAACAGCTGTGAGGCTCTGTTGCCTGCTCTGGAACCAGCAACCTACTTGTGAAAAGCTCTGCGGCCCATTGCCAGCCCCCGAGCTCTCCAGCTCCTCCACCAGCTGCAATATCAATCCGGGAGTCTCATGCAGAAGGCAGCTTGTCCTACAGGACCTGAGCCCCCGCTGGGTGACTGAAATCCCACCCCTAGTGAGCCTGTGGAGTTTCACTGTTGATGTCCCTGGGGCCAGGATTTCCCCCCGTTGCAGCACACAATGGGTTAAAACAAAACCGAATGGGTAAGGGGTGAATAGGGCCTAGAGGGCCCCAGTGAAGAGGTGGGGCAGGGGAATGAGATCCAGTGCGAACCCTGCCTTTGCACAGGAATGGGCTCTTCCCACCTTGCTCCAGTCTCAGTGGTTTTGCTTCTGCCGGTCTCTGGAGGCCAAGGGGCAGCCACTGTGCCCCTCACGCTGCATTTGCAAGCGGAGGCGCAGATCTCGATCCCATCAGATTCCAGGGGAGCAGGATTCGGCCCAGAGGAAATGAAAAACATGCTCCAAACAAGAAGACATTCTGGGGGCTGCCAGCGTGACTGGCAC